TTGTTTCGCACCGGTCACCCAACTATCACTTTTGGCTCCATCGAATTGGTTGTATTTGCTAGTGGTCACATTCCGATAACCTCTAGGCGGGTGGGCTAGACCCAGCGAAGGTGACCGGGTTCCTCAGAATGCGGTAATTCACAGCTTAATCAATGCATGTAAGGCATGTAACGACAATCCAGGCGGACGAGGTTATATTAATGATCCAACGATTATAAGAGCAGTTTGAATTCAATGGAATCAATTCAAAAAACCCTATATTCTCATAAGTCTCACTTGGCCAGAGGTGCATCCACTAACAAAGGCCGAATGTCACTGGTGGCTTCACTCACACCTAAATCCCACGACACTTTATGCACTCTTCCTATAGTCTGCTCATCCTCTCACAGGAGATAGCCGAATGAAAGTGGGTATGTGATTCCAAGATGTACGGCCTCAATGAACCGGTGTGGGCCACAGCTTTGAATTGTACCCTCTAGTTTCGCGATGTTTGAGCATCATAGTTCGACTTCATTGCTTGAGACACTTACTATTAATAACTATTATTCAGCTCAGGTATCAGTAGTTAAATATATATGACCGCTTTATCGTCAGATTTTAAAGGCCTCTATTCTATCCCATCCTATTGTATCATAACCTTATGTGTTTCGTCACTCCTAGTTCCACGACTTAAGTTTCCCGTTATTATGAATAAAAGCTCCTCGTGATTCTATGATTCATCGCACAGGGACGTGGAATACAAAATATGTGATGATCAGGATTTAGGTCTATACAGTGGTGGTAACGTCCCCACAGGACGCGTGTACGAATCCTACCACGACCGCCTGACTTTCCTCTTTATGACAGCCCTTTGATTGGCCGCTTCCTCTTCTCTGAAAATTGCATCGTCATATATCGAATGAAAAGAAGTAAAATTAAATGGAATAGAAAATGGAGAATTCTAGTAGACTAAGGTTGCAAAGATAGTAATTGAGAGATAGTGATGCACGAGCGCCACTGTTTAGGATACAGCCATATCATCCAGTTTCTTAAACCAGGGTCTAACGCAACCTATATGACCGATTCTCCTGGTTAGGGTTTTCACACTGATACCATGCCCTAGTTTGACCACCCCTGACGTTTTCCCACCCACTACCTGCCTCGGTAGACTTGGCACCCTGTGGCAACCTCTTTGGCGACATGCGTACCACGTGCCTCAACGAACGTAATTCATGGAGGTCTACCACTTGCTCCAGTGGGCGACCGCGATTGCCTAATACTCTGCACCTAACTTCGGCATCGTTTGTCCGGTTTACCCATCCGACTCGTGCAGTGCGACGTAGATGGTGTTGTTTGAGAGCCAACATTTAATCTTTATCTTGTTTTCATAATGGCCAAGTTTCTGCCTAACTGGCTGAATTTCTGTAGCCTAAATTCTACCCCTCACGGAAAGCCGAATGTGGCGACGGCGCCACAGATGTTTCAACTTGGCAAATGCCAACCGAGTCTTCTGTATGCATTTTTTGACGCGTCTGCCAGGCAAGGCGTAGCTGCTCGAAATAACAAAATTTTCCTGACTCCTCTACTACGGTCTCATTTAGAGTGAAGTTAGGGGCTAGACCAACAAATCTTATAGCAACATTTTACACTTCGAGGGTGCAAAACGCATACTGAACAAGTCTACACTACCACACAAATGGTCTACCCTCGGTGGTACTGGAAGTCGCAAGGGGGGTTTGTTAACGTGACTGCAAATCCAGCTGATCTCCATGTCGGTGGTTGTAGACCTTTTGATATAGGTTAACGTTCAAGAACTGTTGCATTCGTGCATGTATTACTTTTCCCATCCAGTTTAGTTATTCTTATTTCCAAGAACCCCATGTTCTTTTCCCACCTTTAGGGTTTCCCATCTGACAACAACCGAAATAAGTCATCTAATTACTTTACTTATAATTGAGGTGTTTTTTTTAAATTCATCGCTAATAAAATGTTTGAAACGGTAAGAGGATAAATGGTTTCCCTAGGAGTGAGACCCACTGTATGGTCCGTGTACAGCCTTGACGTCTGTTAAATTGAGTGCAATCAAACAAGTTCAGTTCATTTTTACAACCATTAACCATGCACTTTCGTGCGCCGGTTTTGGTTGCTGTCTTTTGGTGCCCCACTTGGATAAAAGAGCAGATTAAAGATTAGATTGTTGAAAGGAAATTCAAGAACAAGAACACTAAAATATTTTGAGATCAGCAGTTTGAGTTATTACTATTTTTTCCTGTTAATCCGTGTTTCAGCCTGCATTTCTCATCTGGTTCCCATGAGTGTTTGGCGGCGTTTGCAACGAGTTGGGAAGAAAGCGGCCAAGTTCCAGTTTACTACCTCGTTGCAGGAGCTGACCATTGAGTGCAATCGACAATATCGGCCGGGAACGTTTGTAATTGTCTGGTCTCGTCGAAGTCGTCGTTACACTTCCAAGGTTAGCTGAGAGCCACCAAGCATTCAGAGCAGTTTCCAAGAGCACGTTTATAGTTTCGCTCTGTGCTCTTGCGATTTTTATTCGATGTTTAGCATTGTATTTCCAAATGTTATGAGATTGTATTAACTCTATCAGCAGTGCACGTGTTGCAACCGAGAGATTGACGTATTAAAAATAGCGGACATTAGCAGTTTGATAATACAGAAAAAGCCTACTTGCACATGTAAGATGCATTGTGCAGAGACTTTTCACTTGTTTCTCTCCATTGACCTGCGAAATTAGTGGACCTTTTTGTTTAAGAGACATTTTTTTTACTTCCTTGTTCTGTTTATTGAATATAAAAATGTACAGTCAACTTTCAGGAAGGGGGCTGCGGCCATACAACGGCTACCTGGGGAAAATAAAGATAAAGGGAAGACGGGCGGCGGTGGAGTGGTTTGAACCCGGGACACCCAGGTCACTAATTGGTGACCTAACCATGTGGCCACCACCACAGCCCAATGCTTGTCGTTTCAAATTTATTCGTGGGAACCACTGTTTCAATATATGTATCTAAGTCCCTTCTGCTTGGAAATAAAAATGTCTTGTTATTCGGTCACATCTCCACCCACTTTTATGCTGTTATTCGGTCACCGCCTGGTTTTCCATATTGTGGTATTTATTAGAAGTCTGGAGATCAGCAATAACCTGAACATGTCATTTTCGCAACGCAGAGCGCACACTATCCAGTAGAATTGGGTTGAATGTAAGGGAATGTCTTTCCTGCTGCTGGTTGGAAATCAGCCGTGGTACGAAAATATCCGAATAATTAGTCTTCGTTTTGATCTGGACTTATCATACTTCAGAATCTATCTTCACGCACAATCCTCGGTTCCTCTAGTCAATTGTACACCTGGGAAGCACAGAACTGCATTTTCGTTCATACTAAACAAAAATCACTAGTGCATTTTCACTATCCTGTCCGGGCTTGGAACTACGAATCCATCACAAGGAAAGCGTGCTATTACTGAACCAACCGGCTCACATCCTGGTGAATTATACCTTTTTAACTTNTGAATCCGTTATAATCTCAATTGAATCCTACCAATCGCATTCTACTGGAAACCCCGCAAAGTGATTACTGTTTCAGCCAGTCCATTCTTCACAGGACGAATAATGGCCCTTGCCAATCGAGCCTCCAGATTATTGTGTTGTCAGGGGGTGTTCTTGGCTCCCGACGCTGCCTTTACTGAGTTTCTTTTATCTGGTTTTCTAAGCTGCGCTAGAAAAGAGAAAACAGAAGAGATGTCTTCTCGCCTCATCGGTGAGACCTTACTTTTCTGAAACACCAGTTTCAGGTACAATTAAAAGGCCCGATTCCATCGTTCGGGGCTGCAGTTTACCTGGCTCTTAATGACGGTACATTAGCACCTAACATCAGGGAACATTTCCGGCCAACACGCATCCAATGACTCCTTGAAGTCGTGCACATTGGTACTGTTGACCACTCCCGCGGGTAGCCTGTTCCACATAGGTATGGCCCTATGTGGCCCTATGTGCGAAGAATTTGGCCTGGACCTCCAAACTAGCATGGTTATGTTGGAGCTTAAAGCTATGACCATCGTGTTTTGAGCACAAGAAGCCGTAAACAAGTCATCTGCATGGAGTCCTGATATCCCTCTGTCTATTTTGAAGGTTTCTGTGACGTCTCATCGCGGTCGTATACGTTCCAGCGAAAAAAAGATTCATGTCTCTCAATCGTTGTTCATAGTTTTTCCCTTTTTCCCAGCTACCATTCGGGTTGCAAGTCGTTGCACCTTCTCCAGGCATGCTATATCCTTTCTATAGTATGGTGCCCATGCCTGAACACAGTATTCTGAGTGGGGGCGAACTACTGCCTTGTACATAAGTATAAAGACCTCTGCGTTTCTACATGTAAGGGCAGCACCACCCAAAGAGCTAACCACGAGCCTTATTGGCTGCTTTCAGACATTGTGTTTCGGGCTTGAAACTTTTTATGAGAATGATTCCTAAGCCCTTAACTACATCTGTGTGCTGCAGTGCCAGCCTCAGTCGAAATACACTGCTTTACATATACCAAAAACTGACATCAGTATGGTTGCTATTTTTACTTGGTTCTTTCCATCCAACTTTAGCGTGAATCTCATGGCACGCAAATTTACCACTTGGTTTTATTCTCTGATTCCCTTCCATTCATCCAACTGTCTTGGGCTATCCGCCCTTATCAGCCGTTCGAATGTGTCCCCTCGACCGAAAACACAAACGTGCACACACATGTGTGGGCGATGCCGGAGAATATCGAATTCACCACGACGCTTTATCGGGGTGAAAAGTCAATACAGTTCGAGGAAAAGGAATGGATCTGTCAAATTGAAGATGTAAGATAGTCGCACCCGTTCACGTGACTTTTTTGTCCGCAAATAAATCTTGACCTGCTTCAAATTGTTATCCTGTGTTGAATTCCTGTCGGGTCACTTAACTTCCTCACCCAAGTACATTATTGTTAAATAATTTTTTCCATCCCTCAGACAATTATCCATAAATTCTGAAGTAACCATGTAAAATTCTAATTTTTGTACGTGACTATATAAAAATAACTTATCTCTCCCTTGTAGACTCTTAAACTCTTCATTTTCCACAAGCATTATCACCAGGGCGGATCAAGCATCAGCCAGCTGGTATGGATTCATTTAACTTAATGTCATAAGTGTATTGCCAAGCTCGTCTGGGGTAGTGATGTTATCTATCCTGAAATCGATTGAACGAGAATGGGTTGTGTCGAGTGCAACCTGGTTTACCTAGCGCTCTCTTCTGACTTGTGCAACTTGGGAATTTTATTCCCTCTCACAACGTACAAACATGTAAACATACGTGTATAAGTAAAATTGAGCTGCCTCGATGATAGTTGATTTTGAGGCGAGACTGGGCGGTTTTTATTAACCTCTCAAATCTTTGTCTCCCGAAGAGAAGAACCATTTCGGAGAAGCAGTTGGTTGTGTCCATATGTATGTGAGTATACCGAGGTAAAAATTCAACAAACCCAGGGTACCTGATTTCTTCTGACAGGGGGACTAAATGACCTGAGCTAAAATGCTTGTTTTATTTTTGTACCGTTCTGAACAAAACACACCATCCCCCTTTCAAGTAAAACAAAAAATGCGAAATACTGTTCCATAGTTTATCAACAATTACTGATTTTATGCAAACAAACACTCAACACATACCGATTTTCGTCGGTCTTATTCTGCTCTACTTCCAGTGTTTGGCTGCTACGCGAAGTTAAACTCAACCTCGTAATGAGTCGCGATGTTAGATATCACTCTTCATTTCAACTCACTCTTGAAACTTCTTCCCTTAGGTCAAACCGGGTTCAGTGCTAAACGCATCTGTTGTTGTTATCAGTTTAACTAATCATGGACTTATGCATTCGTACATGTCTCAGACTCTCATACTCTTGCAAAACTCTCCTCGAAATATGCACACTATACTTCCACTCATCTCATACATAACATCCCCATTTTTTCCGCTGTGTCTTATCTCGAATAGCTCCACTGATGTAGGTTCCTATAGCTCGCCGCGATCCTCCTCAACCTCTGTCTCAGCAGTGCCGTGTCACTCGGAGACGGCTGTTCCTTTCCTCCAACCTCATTTTACTTTAAAACTGGTTTCGGTCAGCATAATAAATTCAAGGCACATAGGACAAATAGCAGTTTTGGCTTGCACGCTCGACAGTTCAAAGATTGACGCGTGTTGCCTCTCGGAAACGCATTCAGGATCCGAGCTCGTGATCCGATTGAGGTCTCCTTCCTATCCAAAAGTGTTTTAACTGCGCGTTTTCGTGATCCTTGTCTTATCAGCGTCTAGTGAAACAAGTGTTGGTATTGCCATAAGCGCCAGGGCCAATCGTGGTTTATTGGACTGGATCCCGGTAGATAGCCAGTTATGCGCAGTGAGACCCCGAAACTCAAGTGAAGTCACAAAACAGAAACCAATCGAACGCTGCTTGTTCTTGGTTTCTGCATTCACTCTCACAAGCTAACCCGGATACAGTCAAAACTACCTTCTATCACAACCTACATGGGCTTTTCTCAAAGCACTCAAGAGGGATATTGTGATTCTGGCTGGAGACGCACTCGCTGGCCATCTGTCGCCCGAGTAAATTCATCTTGGTGGCCATCATGGCCTTGACAACTATCTTTTATGTAACGGGGATAGGCTTCTTAGCATATGTTCAGAACACGGTCTGTTCCTCTTTAACACGAACTTCAAACAACCAAAGTGTCACCTCACATCTTGGCGTAACCCCTCCTCGGCACAGATGTGGACTCAGATTGGTCATATAGCTATTAGCTATAGTTGGAGAGGTTGTGTGAAAGATTGCTGTTCATATTAGTCTACCTGCTTAAACTCCGACCACGTACTAGTATGTGCCAAGTTGTCTATGCGATTTCGTGGCCGCAAAAAATGAGATGCAAACCACTTGTCGTGAGTAAGCTGTCTGATCCAGCCGTGCTAGCCGAATACTAAAATTAGTTGGCCCCTACTACCCTACTCTGGACCACCATTCAAAGCGCAATGCAGTCAGNAGTTGTGGCCTGGCCCATCGAGTTCTAAAACACTGGGTCTCCCCAACTCCCTCAGACTTATTGATACGCGTCGGGTAATCCCGGCAGACAGCGAGCATAGTAAACAGCGCCTCTCTCTGAAGCGTGAACTCATAAATAGTTTGAGAAAAGACCGAGAAGCTTGGTGCACGCTACGTGTAAAGGAGATGGAATCAGCAGCTAGGTGTGGAAACACCCGGCAATTATTCCAACTCATCCGTGCTACGAGCCCCAAAATACAGTGCGTTGGTGAAACAATCTGCGAAGTAGATGGCACGCCAATATACAGTATTCACCGACATTTGGAAAACTGGAAAGAGCACTTCACATCGCAGTTCAACCAGCACCCCACGCTGGCTGCTCTAAGTGATTCTATTGAGAGTGCACCGTGGTCGCTATCCATGGGAACACCCACAGAAGCGGGGATCCGAAAGGAACTCCAAGCCGTGAAACGCCACAAGGCAGCTGGATCAGACGGTCTACCACTTTCCCTCTTTAAAGATGATAGAGAAACTCTCGTGAAACTGTTCTCGAAGATATGGGAAACCGAAAGTGTACCCCACACAAGGGGAGAATCAAGTGTTACACCTGTCTGCAGGAAGAGCTGTCGCAACGCCTGTTCCAACCACAGGTGCATAAGTCTGATTCCAATAACGCCGAAGTTGTTGGTGTCCGTATTATTATGCAGACTAAACTCATTTCGCGAAACATAAATCTGCGAAGGGCAGGCCGGATTTCGTACACACCACTGTTGATTAGATCAAATCTTCACCCTTCGTCAGCTAACAGAACACTGCAACACATACAGACGACAAACCGTTGTCGTGTATTGGGCATCAGAACGGCCCTCGACTCCATCGATCGCCCCGCACTGTGGAACGGCTTACGGAGATACGGAGCACCCGAGAAGTATGTTCTACTTCTGAAAGCACTGCTGCCAGACCTCAAGGAATGTTAAGATTTATGGTGAACTCCCGCCTTCGTTTCCTGTCATCAGGAGTGTGACAGGACTCCCCTATTTCTCAGTTTCTCTTCAACTTTTCCAAAGGTGATGTTCTGCAAAACGCGTTACGTAACTTAACGAATGCTGTCGTCGAGCTTCCTCCTGGAGACAGAGTTTTAGACTTATTTTATTACACACCTAAGTGTGATGAACAGCAGACGGGGCGAACTTCGTAGTCACGAGGACCTGCTGTTCGGTGGTGGAAACCGGTAACCTAAGCCCCAGGACTTGGAGTGGCGAACCACACAAGGCTCGATATGTTAGGTATGGTATTGAACCGGACGATAGCAGAGCTGCCTACTACCAAAGTCGGGTGGCGGTGGTGGGGCTTGAATCTCGAACCCCAGGGTCCAAAGCATGCCAATGACAGCGAATAAACCACGGCGCTACCAAAACCAGACTTGGAGTATGCCAATGATGTTGCCTTACGCAGTGACAACGCACCGACGATTCAAGAGTCACTGTATCTCATGAGGGCATTCGTCGTGTATATAGCAAATGAAGCGTGAACTGAAAAGCTAGAAAGCACGGGACAGCTGTTTCGACCTGGTCTGATTTCATCAACAGTGAGAATGCATCGACCCAACTGGGGATCGAACCTGGAACTTCATAGGCAAGCATGCTACCCAATCAGTCACCAGGAAGCTAATCAGACCGCTTTTTTCATTTTTATTTACACAATATAGCACAACTCATCTTTGAGGGATATTGTTGCGGGTCTCACACCCCGCTCATCTCACCACCAGCCTCCGGGGTTATGACTCGGTTGGAAACTTTCACAACTTCACTGCTTGTTACATGCTCGTTGCACTGAATCGTTTGGCAATTGAGGTTGCTCATTTAGGTAAGTTCTTTGCACCTAAGTGCAAGATGTTGCTACAAGATTGGTAGGAACCCGTTCCTGCACTTTCTTTGGGTCACCATACTCTAGAAGTAACCGAAAGCTTTGTCTGCCTCGGGATTTGCATAACGGCTGGTGGAGGTGTGGGTGAGGTGATCTGTTAACGCGTGATCAAGGCTAAATTAGCGTTTGGTAATCTGCGGCATCTCGGGCGCCAGCGGGACATATCCCTTTCATTGAAAAGGCGTGTGTATTACGCAGCGGTATGCACCGTGTTGCTCTATGGCTGCGAAACCTGACCTCTCCGAACAGATCATGTCCAACGACTATCCATCTTCGACAACCGTTGTCTGCGCAATATTGTCCACGTATGTTGGGGTCACCGTGTGAATAACAATGAGGTCAGACGACGTGTGTTAGGCTCAGACAGTCTTCCACGAAGCGAAACCATTTCACTGCATCGTCTTAGGTGGTTGGGGCACGTCTTACGAATGCTTGAGCAACGTCTGCCACANACATTGTTCCGTGTTGGAAGAAAGAGGGAGTTGGGTAGGCTATGACGTGGCGTAGAGGGTTGTGTTCGGATTTGCTTTCGTCGGCGCTTCTCGTCTGAGGTCCCAAAGTTTCGGATTGTTTGGATTGCTTGTTTTGGATTCAGATTTTCTTGGACTGGAGACACTGCGGGATATGGCATTGCACCGAAGTCAGTGGTTTGAATGAATCCTTTCATGTATGCGATCCCCAAAGTGAACCAGACTAAAAATTTCAACTTTCGTGCAGTAAACAAGTAAAACCTTTCTATTCCAAAAGTTGGCTGTTTTTGTTTTCTCTCTTTTCTGTATATATATATATATATAGGGTCCCTGTGAAACACTTGTCGGTTCGTATAGGTAACAACATCTATACTGAAGTAAATTTTTTTTTCAAATAATAATAAACAAGCCTTGATGAGTCTTGATTCGTTTATACACAGCAGATGGCATGGTTCAAAATGTAGTGGATATTCCCATTTCGTCAGTAGTGATTGATCTAGATCATGATGAGTTACGAGCTAACTAAACTACTACTAAACTACTATTCGATTGGTCTGCTTTTGTTCTTTGTGACTTTTTCAAGACTCTTCGGCATCGAATCCACCAACTTTGTTATGAAGTCATTTTCTATTTTGTGCTCCATTATGTATCGCACTTTTGCCTCCAATGTCCAATGTACAGGTGGCACATTGACCTATCTCTTCAAAACAGAAAACAGATTTTCAATCACATTGAGATCCGGGCCATTAGGGGAAATTGCATGAACTGGACCTTAGAGTCACGCATCTTTTCTTAAGTCTAAAAGCAAATAAAGTTGGCGGTTTTCATGTTGAGATCATTTAATCTTGGCATCCAAGGTCAGGCACGTTTAAGTGACAATCATGCAGCCTAGAAACTTCGTAGATCGAAGTATACACGAGATAAATTATTGTCCTTATCTAAAGCAATAATACTGGTAATGAATACAATGAAACTCCATTTGATCATAAAGAAAATATTTTGGTGCATCACAATCGGCCAGTACTGTATATATATACGCCTAATTGTTACCCCTTGTGCTCTGTTACTACGCTCATTTTTTGTAACCATTACACCCTGTTCGCTGCCATCGGGAAGGTTGGCAATGTGACTACCAGTCGACTGTCAGGACCGTCGGTCAGAAGGCGCGTGTTGGCTACACGTCAAATTGATCTGTCGGAATTCGCGGCCAATATACCTACACAAACCAGTCTCAAGGTTGTGATGCGATTAGCCTCCAAGAAATTAGCTTCCGCCTCACTTCTGCTCACCCTTCACTCAGTCATCATGAAGGAGGGTGAGGCGACGTAAGTTTCCATTAAATTGATTAGTAAAAGTTTGTTTATTTTGGCTTCAGACTTTTCCATCCCGTTGATCACTAAATTACGTTTTCTTGCTCCTAATATTCTGATAAGATCTAAAGGGCATAAGATGAAAGTAGAAAATTCGAACTGGAAGATCATGTTGTCCATTGGGGCATATTTCCTCACTTTCTTCCTCATCATTTATCGAACAACTGCTTGACCGGTGGACGGAGTACTTCAACGAACAGTTCATCTGGCCAGGAGCTAACCAGGCCATCTCGTCTGTGGGCAGTATCACGTGTTACTCTTGCTGATACAATAGTAACACGTGGATGCTGATGCATCCAAGCCCTGAAGAAAGAAAATGTATCAGAACCTGACGGGCTTCCTCCCACTATTTATAATATAGGGATCGATGACCTTATAGATTCCATTACTTATTTAATGCGTAACATCTGGTCACAAGAGCGCATTCCGTCATCCTGGAGCGAACCACTAATTGTTCTAATTTTTAAGAAGGGATCTCGCAACGACGCCAGTCGTTACCAAGGTATTAGCCTGCGTCATTCTTTGGTATCTGACACCGTTCAAGGAGACAATAAGCAGTATTTTGACCAGGTCGTGGGCGTATCGACCAAATCTTCACACTGTGTCATACACACCGTCGACCAACGATTGTTGTGTTCTTTAACCTAAAAGGAGCTTTCTACTCAGTTG